GTCAGAATACATCATTGATTGTTACACACTATTTTTTTTCAATCATACTGTAATTATTTTTGGCACATCATTGTTTTTTTAACATCCAAAAATCCTTAGGGGGGGCTACAAGCCTCCCTGCCCCTCCCCCTGCGTTTAGTCTGTAAGTGTGTAAAAAATTTCGAATTAGTCGTTAGTTAATCACTTTAAAAACCCTTTAAAATTCATTTAAAAAATTCGTTTTGTTCAAGAGTTTAAGTCAAGAAAAAAGTGGTGGATTCTGCGTTTAAAAGTGGCTTTAAGGAGACTACTTAAAGTTACCAGAAAGACTTTGCTTTATGCTCATTCTTTCTTTCGCTCTTATTTGTAGGGAGGTGGATCAACACGTCAGGAGATGTGTATGAATTACTTATTCTACTATCCTCGGTATAAAGATTTCTCATTTTGTGACAATACATTTTTTGAACCTACCTGGAAAATGATCGACAAATTATTGTAAGTATATTTGCGTTCTTTTTTTTTTTTTTTAAACAGACTGAGCTAGTCTACCAAGACCCTACCCCGATACCATTGCTTTCGGTTTACCATAAGTTTCCAAAAGCAAGCCCCAGGGCTAATCTTTTTAAAAATTCGGAGGAGTTAATTTATATACAGAGTTAATATAGATACGTTTCAAAATTCACCTGGCATATATTGGAGATAAAATTGTATTAAAGAGGCGCCCAACGACTTCGTTTGACAAGTGAGATGAAGCTTGGGCTACTTCGATCAAATATTGCCTACAAACGCTTTCATGGAATGTAAACAGAATTAAAAGATTTTTACCTTCATGTTCGAACAACAGACAATGCTTCTCTCTCCAAACATGCAAATTTTAAAACAAATTGAATAATACCTTGCCTTTGGCTAACTGTCGAGATTATGAAAAGTAATTGGAAGATACTAAATCAAATACCCATGCCACTTAAAAATTTTTAAACAAAGTTTTAAAAAGAAAAAAGTCAAGGTCTCAGTTAAATACAACTGTTTAGATCAGACCGTCTAGAGTCTCCGATCCAGTAGAGGTAGCAAATACCATGCTTTTCCAAATTTTTAGAGAGAATCATCTACGATCGCTTACTTGATTATTTGGCTAATTTAAATATTCTCCGTGACAACCAGTTCAGCTTCAGGAAAACCACTCTGGGATACTTACCTTGCTTGATCTGCACTAAAAACATTTCGGCTATGAATCATAGTGAACTACCGGTTGTTGTTGGTTTGTTTTTTTTTAGATCTCTCGAAAGCTTCTGATACCATTATAGTTAATCATTTCATCTTATTCGGTAAACTGGAATACTATAGCATACGTGGCTTGGCTGTGAAACAGATAAAGAGCTATTTCTCCAGATTTGTAGAATACAATGATTGTTTCTTTTCGTGCCAACATTATGTGGGGCCGTCCTCAAGGTTCAATAATAGGACCTTTGTTTATTTCTGTTTCACAACAATAGACATTGATATATTACAATGATTCTAGGATTCCCTAAAACAATGGAGCTACGTGTTATGGAGAACCAATGAAATTAGAGGTTTTTAGAAACTGTGCACTATCCCCGAAATACATGTAATCAACGCATCTACAATATTACAATTGATCTTATTTGCTGATGATGCCAACGAATTTTTCTGTCTCATAGGATGAAAGACCACTGATATACTAATATACTGAGCACTGAGCTACTAATTTTGTCAATTTGGTTTAGAGTTGACAGGCTCTCGTTAGGTTTTTTTAAAAAAACTAAATTTTATTATATTTAACTCGTTTCAAAAAAGTATAAATCATAACATTCAACTTTTAATAGATGACCAAAAAATTGATCAAGTAATTAATTAAAAGAAACAGTTTTCTTGGGAGTAATCGTGGATGAAATTTCAGTTGGAAGTCTGAAATCCCACATGTGGCCAACAAAAAAAGTTTCCAAATCTGGAGGAATAATCGTAAATTTACTTTTCTATTTATCTACAAAAACTTTACGCACATTAAATATATTTTTCTCTAGTCTATCCATAGTTTTTTTAATTGAGTTTGGGCCTCCAGTTACAGAACTAGCATTGTTCGTCTTGAAAATGTACAGAAGCGAGTGTTTAGAATTACAGCTAAACCTTTTCGGTGTACATACTCCTCCAACGGTATCTTAATATTCCATGATATATACTTAATACGTACAACAAAGCTTGTTCATGTACTCCTATGCAAACCGTACTCTAGCTTCAAAATTTCATTTTCTTGTAAATTTACTTTACGAAATCAAATCGTATAACGTACACAAGAAACTCATAAATTTCGTTTGGCTTTCTGTCCAACTCGCGCCAGTAAATATTACCATATTCTCACAAAAATGTGGAAAAAATTTTTAATATTCAACTTTTGTAAATTTTCCTTATTATTCTCTTGTTATATATTATTCCTTTTTATAAATAATTGTATTCGTTGCCGTAACTTTTATTATCATCTGTGAAAATTGTAATTGAGGAGGCCTAATTGACGTAAGCGCTATAGTTTCTTTTAGACCTCTTCGCCATTAGTTTCTCCATTTTTGTTTCTTTTTTATTATAGTATTATCTGTTTGGCAAATAAATAGACTACAAATATAAACAAACCATTTGAGACACGTGTGACGTATTTGCAAATATCAGGTCGTTGGGTGCCCCCGATATTTTTGCATTGACTTCAACGCAACTGCAACCTTACCATGCTTAGCTAAGGTTATGATAACTATGACCTACAATATTGTCCGCAAGGCATGGTATTTCTTTAGCTTCATATTCAACCGTTAGGTAAGGTCAGACCCATTTAGCCCTCAGTCCAGAGTTGCGTTTTACCCTAAGAATGTTTCTTAAAAGTAGTTTTTTTAAAAAACAAACATAGAATATACCCGTTAAGGACCATAGTCAGAGATAAATTTCTAGCGAGGTAATAATCTGTTTATCCAACGATGTAAATGTACCGCCTTGCAAATGTAGTTTAATGACTAAAAATATCGTTAGTTTTGGTCATTGTTCCTGTTTATTAAAGTTTGCGAAGTGATAAACTTGTGAATTGCCATGTTTGAAAATTCTGCAAAGATCTATTTTTAAACTTTCGCGTGATTTGATCCGTCAATCAAATCGTACTTTTTAATGGTTTCCTCTCTGATTTTGTTCAGATCACTTCGTGTGTATATACTAAAACAATAATTATTCTTTTCAATCCGGGTGAATAGCGGCTTTAGGAATATTTGCCTCGTCGCTTCGCGCCTCGGTAAATATGTAGCCACTATTCACCTCGATTTCAAAGAATAATTGTTAAATAGAGCTGATCCTCTTGTTTTAGTCCCAAGGTGAATATACCTCCCAGTTCAAAATACTGGACACCTCTTGACCGCTGGCCAATCCATTGGACTGATGAAGTAGCAAACGACCTAAGGAAATATTACAACGAGCTTGATACTTTGATACCCGGATGTTGGGTTAAACGTATATTTTCTAGAGCGGTGAGTATGGTTGAGATAACAAGCTTCCTTTTCAGAGGTCTTAAAATCCAGTTTTGTGACAAAACCGAGAGAACCGAACTCAGAGAGATCAGACATCTGGGTTTTAAGATTAATCAAACTAAACTTCTAGTGGAGGATACAGCAGGGGAGAGCAGCTTAACACCGTGCTCGGAAAAACTGCTTCACAAAAAGTGTTACCGCAGCAGGCAAAATAGTATCTTGTTGCACACTGTGAGTAATAATTAAGACAATTAAGCTCGAGGTGAAATGGTTTTCTCATTTCATTCATTCAGTGTAAGATTGTGTAGTACCAGAAAAAATTCGTACCCCCCACCCCTCCTCCTCTTACCCTCCACGGAAAGAAAAGGAAATTACGACGAGAGAGGGGACCAAAAGGAGGCAATTTTCGAGGGGGTGGGGGTAGTTTCTCGAGGTATTTTTTTTCCGGGGGCTCCAATTGCAAGTAAGATTGCCAAGTTATATCTTCTTTGTTGGGCAAGCTATCATTTACTTTATTGTCAACGGTGTTTTAAAACAATAACTACTATACGGTTTCATCGATGATCTGCTATTTATTTTAAGGACGGCTGAATGCTTTTTTCACGGCTTACGCGATAGATAGTTTTATGGACTCATGAATCAACGTTCGGTTGTCAAGCTCTTGTTGCTGATTAGGCCAGTAATGTGGTCGCGTTCTAAGCTTTCTTGTAGCATGTTTTTAACTGAAAGGAAGTAATTGAATTCCACTCAGTGTTCAGTTAGAATTTAACTGGCTCTTTTGCAGATGGCATCGTTTGTGTCGTGTAAGGTATCGTCTCCATGTTTCGCAGTGACTTGAGAGATTATTAACTAAATTATTAACTAAGAAAAACTGTTCCAAGGCAAAATTGAGATAATTAGACACGTATTAACATGAATAAAAGAATTGTCCTCTCCTTATCGCAGAAAGAATTATCTTTCGCATAATAGTATTAGTGCACCACAATTTTTGACGAAGTATTCTTTCCAAGGGGTACCTAACCAAGTTGAAAAATTACGGAAATTCCAGGGGGTGGGGGGTCTAAGGCAAAAGGCCCCTGTGGTGGGTATGGATACTTTCTGGAACTACACATTAATGTGTGTAAACTCGTGTGTAGATACGTTTTGTTCGTTTTTTCTTGCTATCCAATGGTAACTTTTAATAAGGCGATAGGAGCTTGTCACTGCCTCTACTTTTATCCTAAGTTCTTCGGACATGTGCGCGAACAACAGAGAAGTGTCCATTAAAAAAAAGAAGAGAAAGAAAGGTATTGGTGGCTAACACTATGAAACATCACGAAATAACACTAATTAATGATCCACAATCTCTTTTTTGCGCCTCCTATTGTTATTACCCAGTAGGCATTTCTTTTCGCAAAGATTCAGAAGGTCTGTAGGTAAACAATGCGAAGTTATTAACTTAAAACAAACTGGTATAAAATATTGTGCACAGTACGTACATGTATCATAGTTTATATGATTGTGGTCCTTTTCACGATATTATGCAAGAAAAGGCCCCGCTTAGCCTTGAATCTGAGTGAACAGAAAAAGACTCCTCATTCACATTGGAAGCTGATTGCTACCACTAGCATTCATAAAAATAATCAATACATTCTTGGCTGGTATTTTGAAAAAAAAGGGGCACCAGCAGATGACGGGTTTTTCCAAGTTTTACATCCCCACTGGCTTCCTCGTCTGATGATCTAAGATGTTAAATATTCTTTGAGGCATTTGAATGTTGCTTTAAAGCAGCATCCCAGTAGTAACGGTTTGTTTTTATGGGGACTCCTCGTAAATTACTTTATACTTGCGATGTGAACTAAGATGATAAATATTCCGGCGTATGACCCGTCTTGTTCGAACTGTTAAAATAGCATCTCGATAGTAGAAGTTTGTTCGTACAGGGGGCCAGCGAAAATTCCTTTATGCAGGAGTGACGTTTCCATATGCATATTTCTTAGCTTTACTCATGATACGCCCGATAATGCACTATAGCACAATTAAATGACCTTCGGTTTTTTTTCTTTCGGCTTCTTTTACAGGACGCAACGGGCCCACTTCCAAACCGCAGAGCGCCGAGACCGAAAATCACAGAGCCGCTTCCCCCTAAGAAAATGTGTCCTATTCAATCAGCATCCGAAGGTTCTCTTGCGAGGTTCAATATTCTTGCACTGAATCTCACAGAGCCTCCACCCCACGAGAAGACGTCTCCCAATCAGTTAGAGTCAGGAGCAGACATGAATGCGTCCTTCGCCCTTTTTTTTGGCATTCTGAATGTTGTGATTCAGGCTTTCAACTGATTGAAGTGATACAATCTACAGAAAAATAAAAACTAAATGTATACGTTCAATTTTACAATTTAAACTGGGTAATTTTAATTTACCAGTCAACGTGCTTTGTAAAGCGAAGTTATTTACAATTGCAGTTATTTTACTTGATCTGTGAAATACATAGTAGACTACTACGAGGTGACGTTACACTGATTACACTCAATTTTTTTTTCTTTTCTTTTGTTTGCTTGTAACTATCCGGTACTTGTTGTTAGATACTGATTCGATGTAAGGCCCGGTCCACACGTATCCAGATATTTCTGAATCCGCAAATTTTTCTCAGCGGATTCAATATTTTCCTCATCAAACGCAGCATATTTAAATCAAGTTTGCGCGTCCACAAGTATCCGAAATCACTCTCAGTTTATTTGTATATTGGAATAGTAAACATTAATGTATACTCTACATGCAAAGATAGACATGTATTTTTAACATTGTCAGGGAAAAATAATCTGCAATTAAAAGCCATATAAATGTATTTAATAGCTCACTTATTAATGGGAGATTTACAGTGTCAAAATCAAGACCCCATTTTCGATTTACATGGCAAATCAGTCTCCTTTTTCGATTTACAAGGTTTTTACAGGGTAAAACCAGTCTCCCCCTCAAACATTAACAACAGAGTGGGTGATTGCTTAGCTTGACTTAAGCACCGCCGTAAAAAAATGACTGAGCTGGTTCAACGGGGGCAACAGGCCGGCCTGTTTCTGGAATTTCCACTGATTTCTGTCAATTCCATGGAGTTATTTTAAGCCCATGGTTAAGAGCTGAGGGTTGTTAGTCCTGAAGAGGGAGATTTTTACTAAAAGCATCCCGGCTTTAAGCAATTTATGCTTTGAACGATTGCCTGCAATGTGCTGGACTTTACTTAAGATATCAGGCAACCCGGTTTTCAAAACTCCAGGTAGGTATAAATTTATCAGTTTTTCCAGTGTTATAACATAATCAAAAGAGAAAAACGTTTAATTTTGTTTACAGATTGCAGGGGAATGACATAAGTTCTGTTATCTGCTCGCGCTCTTGGGTGTGTAAATCATTCATTAATTTGCAACTAGTTCACCGTCTCAATGAAGACCGGTAATTTCATGACATAATTTCATAAAATTGGGAAATATTTATAGCTAAAATTTAAAGCAAGGGAAAACAAAGTGAACAAAAACGAAATAAAGAAGAGTTCAATGGGGCATTTGCACGATGGCGTCATTTTACTACTACGACCAGAATTCTTTTCGTTTTTTCCTTTCATATACATGTAAATTTGGTAGCCCCAGTGAGGTTTAAATAACAAAAGCCCTAATTTGTACAAGAAAGCAAAACCCTGAAGGATCCTGGTCATTGTAGTAAAATGATGGCCTATTCTCTGGATTGTTTTAATGTGCTCAGCGGTTTTGCGATGTTACTGTAAAAACAGGATTCAGGGAGGATCCAGGAATTTTGGAAAGGCTCGGGTCTAGATCCTGTGCGCACTGTCACGTGTTTGTTGATCCCTTCTCGCAGCTACGCTTTCGACAACAACTTTAATTTCTTACGAGAAAATAATCAGTCTTTTTAGAGATTTTAAAGACGACCAACGTCTGGTGAAGCATACAGTGAATGCTGCTCTTTGAAAGAGACAAGATCGGCACCTTCAATTCTTCTCTGTCGGGGTCTGTAGAAAACATGTAGGATGCTGTCGATGACATATATTCGTAGTCGTGTTAAGTTTTGTATTTGAGTGATACTCCTGCCCCGGTAGCGACAATATAAGAGCTTTTAAATGAAGTTCGGTAAGAACGGGCAGGAGAGCCCCTTTGGATGCTCCTCTTAGAGAAACAGTTCCACGGTTTTTTTCAAATACTTATCTGTGATTGGGCACAAAAATATCTTTGTGCCCAATCAGAGGCCAGCGTCTATCGCACTGCTTTAATGAGCTTCCTGCACAATGCAGTTTACCAGCAAACTCGACTGTTCGCCGTACCTAGGCCTGTCTGGTTCCTTCAGGATTAGATAGGTTCCTTCGAGAAGAGTTTTCAGTATCTCAGTGAAAATGAGCCCCTAAAGTTTACTCTACCAGTTTCATCCGATCCCCTTGTATCCTTGAGGAGAAAAATTTAACAAATTTTACTAACTTTTAAGTGCGAAAAAATTTCTCCTGTACGTGCCTGACAAGTATGCCGAGCACGCGTAAACAATCACAAAGACGATATCACGTGTACAAGCTTAGAAGTACTCTGGTGTTTACCAATTTACCTTCGATCAGCCCACAGTCTGATTTCTTTAATTGGTTCATTTTTCGTTTCGTTTTGTTTTGCTGACATGCTAAATTACAGAGCAAAATTTCCGTCTGAATCCCATACATTTCTTATGCATGTATGTCTCCACTCTATTCATATCAACCATTGAAATTGCTGCATGCTTGCATAATAAATTTGTGAGTTTATTCGAAAAATTTATCAATTAACATATAGAATTAAGCGAAGCTCCCATTAATAAATTTATAATTTAAATCAAACAATAAACTTGTAATCCACAAATTTAAGGGCACATATGTGACTTGATGGAAAGGCTTAGTCATTTTAGAGTGAAAAAAATCTTACATCGAGTTGATATAGCCCTACCCAAAAAACAGCAATCACCTTCGATCACATTTAAGAGACATAATGGCACTTGATCACAGTAGATTAGGCCTGGAAAATAAATCAGACGGAATTTTTGGCGTTCGACAATTACTTTACAAAATCTGGGTGCGCGTAAACTAACCTTTTATACTTTTTATACGTCACAACTGAGGTAAAACAGTACTATGAGGCGTTGTTTTTATCATACAGACCTCAGAAAAGAATTCAGTATTTCACAATAAACCCAGGTGGATATTTTGCAAACACAAACACTCTCCCAACCACATATATTTGCATAATGGCGAAAAATACAAGTAAAATTAGATAGTGTGTATGTGACTTATGTTGTTAAAAACTGATTTACATGGCCTACGGCTGATATGGAGACCTTTCTGTGAATAAGCCACGACACCAGAAACAACATTGCTCCGTCGTAAAACGCAAATCAACAAATGTGGTTTTGCCGCTTCCTCTATATAAACAAGGGCAATGTACACGAAGCATCCAGTGGGTACCCTTGGGAATATAGTTTCCTATGAGTTTATTTTTCTCCTTTCCCTCCCCGCCGAGGGGATTTTGACCGTGCAACGTGACTACTAAGCCAAGACCGATTCGACAAGGCCAATCGACGAGGGCACCAACTTTTCTCACCCTCGTTATATTTTTCGTCTTCTTAAGGCCAAGGCTCTACATTTGGCTCAACATTCTCAAATTGACATTTTCGGGGGAACGAGAGTCTTAGGTCTACTCCAAAGCAAAGCAAAGATTTGGAACAATTGAAGACAAAACAAGGGTGGTTTTCGGAGCTATTTTCTTGGGCACTTTTGTTTTGCTTACCGTATTTATTCGATGAAGCGCCCAGCCTCGAATTAGCGCCCACCTCGAATAAGCGCCCATCCTAAAGGTAGAAAAAGTTAATAAGCGCCCAGCCTCGAATAGGCGCCCACCCCTTCTCCTTCCACTAAAACTCTAACAAGCGCCCACAAAGAAAACGCACCCCCCAAAAATGAATAAGTGCTAATAAGAGACTTCCCCGAAGACGAAGTTTTCTTCAGAGTATTGATCATTTTACAGAAACCTTGCTTTGTTACATCTTCGGGTTTTGCTATTACCATTTATTGTTTTGTTGCAAAATAAACATACTATACTTGCTGAAAAGCGCCCAGCCTTGAATAAGCGCCCACCTCGAATAAGCGCCCACTCTCAAGGTCCAAAAATTTAATAAGCGCCCAGGGCGGTTAATCGAATATATACGGTAGTTCGGCATCAAAACTTGCTGAGCAAGACGCCCATAATGGAGATATGTCCAGAAATGCACGCAATAACGAAAATGGCAAATTTGGCGAAAATTCAAAGAGTTGGGGAGAGAAGCGCATTATAGGATGTTAAACGTGATTGATTTAATCAGTACCCTTTAAACCCTAAGGTCAAAATTTGAATTCTCATTTGTTACCCCTACAGAAGTCGTGGGGAGAATTTGAAAAAATATCTCGCATATTCATCTCGCGTGATCATGTCCGTAATTCTCGTGACCACTCTGTTTTACAAAGCATTGATATTACAAGGAGAAATTTGATGCTGATCACTCTCAGGGCTTATAGAGTCGATGCAATTCCAAAAGACTGCAGTTCAAGCTAGATGCTTACTTAAGCAAGGATGTTACCGGATTTGTCGCGGAATTCCCGCGATTCCCTACCGTTTTGGAGCGCCGCTAAGTCATAAATTAGTTAAAGTGCCATTGGCAAAATACAGTATTTACAAATAATAAATTTACAATCGGCGAGGTGAAACTGAATTACCTTATTGGTTCTTAATTTCGCGGGTACTTAATTTCGTACATTTGGCGAGATAATATTTCGTGGGGTTTTTGTTTTCGCCATTTAAAATCAGTCAACAATTTCTGTTTTTGTAGATATACCTGGATTTTTGGTTTGACGAAGTAGTTATATTGATTTAGCCATATTGTTTACGAATGATAGACGAAAGGTCAAATGTAAACGAGATGAATCTATTACAAAAGAGTCAATATTCGTGGAATATATTCTTCCTCAAAAAAAGCATTTGAGTCTTGCTGGAGCTCGTTCTCAGAAGAACACAGAACTGTACTAAAATCGACCGGTAGAAACATAAAATCTAATAAATAATGAATTTACACTCAAGAAGGGGGAGGACAGCCCTAATTGATATAATGAAATGAAATAGTCGGTGGATGTGCTTGTATGTATTAAACGTGATGCTAAAAAATGTTTACGTTCTCTTAATAGTTTAAAAATGTCGACAAAATTCCATGTTTTAAATTCTTTAGTGTCATTGACAGGTATCCCCGTAATAAGAACGTTCGATAAACGTGGCGGTACACCGTCATTACAAACAACAACAACAAAAGTAAGAAATATATACATGTGAATCAAATCAAATCAAATCACTGGTTTATTGTCCCTTTTGCAGTCGGAAGACGGAATTGTAGCATACCTTACAAGCTGTGATATATATACTATTGACAAGATTAATATTTATCACTAACAAAATTTGGAGACGTTCAGTCCTTGTGGCCATGGGCCTGCTAGGACTCCCTGATCTTAGACAGACACTGGTAGATATAGGTACCACTCTGTTTTGTATTAGTGGGTATAAAGGGTTACCTGGCCGAACCTTACCTATAAATTTAATACACGAGACTGCCCGACGGTCAGAAAGGGTGGATAATGCAGCTTTGTCAAGTGCTGTTTCATGCGAAATACCAGGCCAAATGATGGAAAGGGCCCTTTTTTGCGCGTTCTCAAGATAGCAAAATATATCAACAAGTGATTAGCTTAGAGTCACCGCTTCGTCCCCCGGAGCTTCTTTGGTAGCCTCTTGGACGTCTCCCCTTACCGACTCTTGAACATCATCCACCGACTCTTGGATTTCCTCTTCTGCTAATTCTTGGATACCCTCCTCGTCCGATTTATCAGCAGAGACCTCGTTCGAGCTTGAATCTTCAGTGCTTTTTTCGTTTAAAGTGGCTACTAGTACCTGCAAGGTACGGGTAATGTTTTTTTTTTTTTTAAAAAAACGCCTTTTTCATGTAGCCATAGCAGAGGGTCGAGATGAAGACGCCTGACCAATTAACTCTGCATTGATACTTGCGATGCTTGTAAAACTGTTGTTAGTTTTGATTGCGTCAAACATCTCTCCAGCTACCTCTCTTAACCTGAGTTTTTTGAGAAGCAAGTATGTCCTCTGTTGTAAACGTTTCTCCTCCAATCTCTGTTCTTGGTGTTCTAACAATAGATGGGTGGGACCAGAGACAGAAAGAATTCCGCAACCTGTACCAGACCCAAACAATCGGGGACATTTCAGGACTCCGGATGATTATCTCCCAAGAAAATGTTTGAAGGACTTGTATGAGGAACATCCCGTCAGTATCATAAACGATGGAAATACTATCAAGAGCTTCTGTTTTCAAAAAACAATGTTGATGAGAAGCATGTTATTACATACATTAATCATCTTAAAGTTATTGATATCAGAAAAGACATTAGATCAAGAGAAGCTGAAGAAAGAAAGAGGCAAGAGGAGGAAGGGAAATACAAGGACTTCAAATGGGACACTCTTATTTAGAGTGGCAAGATCGAAAAGTTAAAGATAAAAGAACTTGACTTCTACATGAACGAACACGGACTGACCACAATTGGTCGGAAGCTTGACAAAGTAAAAGCTATTCAATGTCATTATTACCGACAAATCAAAGAGTCTCTGGAGTCTGTGAACACAGACGAATCGTGTGGTACCAAAGATGAAAGTGACGGGACCGGATATCAGGGGATTAAGAATATGAGGAAGAATTCTACAGTGAGAAGGAAGAGAGCGACAATGACTTTGTTTTCAACGATCTGTATGAGACAATTCAGTTCATATCAGATGACTAAATATGTGAAGTTGTTGTTCAAGGTTCATGAGACGTTAAGTATTAATATAGATGTCACTTGCTTGCATATAGTAACACTCAGTCTGGCTTTTTGTGGTAGCTGGGATAGAAGAGAGGGGATCAAAACCACACTGTATGCTTTAAGGGGGGATCACGTAAGTGCTCCGTTGTCGCAACAAAAATCCCCCGCCCACCCCTCCCCCACCCCAGGCGATAAAAAATGATCGGTCCCTTGGCAATATATAACTGTTGATAAGTGCTACTTTCAGGCCGTACAGCACACAAGTTATTTACCTCCATTCTACATTTACATCTACCGTGTACAGTCTAACTCTCACAATTGAGGATTATTAGCTGGGTTGGACGGCAAAAACAAAAATTAAATAAAAAATAAGCTTAATACGCTTAATAAATGATTTAGGCAGCTTACATGGGCTTTGAAAGTATCTAAAGAGCAGTGTTCGCTAACGACAGAAGCAGGCAAATTGTTCCACTGAATAATTGTCCTTCAGAAAAAGGATAGATACTCAGAGGACACTAGTTTGGAGCGGGATGAAGAGTTTTCCGAGTGCGAGTGACGTGTCCTGCGCAGGACAGGGCGCAGAAGCCCGAGAAAGTTAACAGAGATGAGCCCCCGAGTGAACTTAAAGAGGGCCGTGAACCGACTGTCAATCCGGCGTTGCTCTAGGGTACGCCATCCCAGGTCTTCAACACCTTACATATGTATTTCAGTACCAAACCAGCAACAACAAAGATTGCAGGCCCTACCCTAGTGTGTTACAATCATTTCCGTGCGCCTCATGGTTTTACTAATATCGCGAGCTCATAACAATATCAGCAATAGTTTATTCCATTTTCTTTTAAGAAGAATAACTGAAGAACCAAAGTCACCGGCAAAACCCACTACTACGCAGAAGTGGATGAAAAACAAACAGGCCGGAGATGGTGCAGTGGTTCTTTGTAACTGGATGTTGCACATTCAGAAAGGAGGGGACAGATTCAAGAAAGTGACAAAAATAACAGGTGTAATTAGGTCCATATGGGGTCTTCCAGCGATGGATTTTACGACACGGAATATATGTACTGAGTATGAAAATACGAAAAATATGAAACAGCTGTCAAAAAACTCTACTTATCAAATATAGGTGTCCAAAGTAGTTAGGAAAATGGGTATCCTGGGCACTACTTCGAATTACCAGAATTGCATTAAATCAACTAATAATAAAATCCCAGAATATGCAAGAGAGTATAAAAAAGAATATTTTTTCATAAGAGGATTAAATAAGGAATTTGTGTATTTTATAAATAAACTGGATAAATTGAATGATGGATTATTTGAGAGTCCTATAGCTAATAGAATTAAGTATAATATGAAAAGATTTCTCAGGGGACAAGAAAAAGGTAAACTTAAGGATATTAGTAATCTTGTGTTACCTAAATATGATGTTGATAATTTAATTTTTATTAATAACCAGTTTCGAATGTATAAAATACGTTGGGATTATTTTAATCCTAGTGATGATAGTGATGATAGTGATGATAGTGATGATGAAGATGATGGTAGTGATGATGATGATGTTGATGTTGGTATTGATGATAGTGATGATGAAGATAATGAATATGATGGTAAAAATGTTTATCCTGGTTTTAAAGAAATTTATGATATTTTTAAATTATTTTTTAGTAAAATAAAATACGAAGGTTGTGATAGTGATAGTGATAGTGATAGTGATAGTGATAGTGATAGTGATAGTGATATTGAAGATTTTGATATAATATTACCAGATAGTGATGATGAGGACTATATTGAATAATTTCTAAACTTATAAAATTTTTTGTTACAAGTTTTAAAAATGATTTAAAAGAAAAAAACATTAAGTAAAACAATGGAAGATATTAAGAAAGTTTATTCAATACATTTTCCTGAAAAACAAGTTTATGTTGATAGCACTGTTTATACATTTGATGAAAAAATAAAACTAATGAAAAACGATAAAGATCATTCATTATATTCCATGTTACAAAAATATCCAAATCCAGAAATTCGAGAAGAAGGTTCTAGTAAAAAAGAAGTAGCTAACAGATATATTAAAGATTCTTATAAAATACTGAATGTTAATCTTTTTCCGCCACCCAAATTTAGTTTATTCCAAACATTATATAAATGGATACTTTATTAAAAGAATTTGAAGATATGGGATGTAAAGTTGAGGTTGGTTGTAAAGAGAAAAGAAGGAAAAAAATAATTTTTGAATCAATAAAAAAATTAAAGGAAAGTGGTGATGATGATAAGATTATTTATACAAAAAAGTTGTGTAGGTATTATTGTACTCTTAATAGTATGGGATATATTTTAAATCCACTACAAATTCCTTTTGAAGAAGATAAATATGGAATACATTATCTTTGTAGTTATTTAGAAAATTTTGTTAATACTGCAAAGATAAGTATTGCTGGTGTTATTGAAGCTCTTGGAAATGATGAGCCATTAGATCCTTTTTGTAAATATCTTATGTTTACTCATATGTATACCCCAGAGCAAGTAAAAGAAATTGGTCATGAGGAAATATATAGAAGGGAACAAAAGTTTGAAGAAGAATTAGTATAATCAACTAATAAAAATGGAACCAAGATCAAGAGAAACTACTCCTACAAAAGAGGATTTAGATTTTATAGTTGATGATGGTTATAGACATGATGAGGATCCAGATTATGTTCCAAACGAAAAATATGTTGTTACAGGACCAGAGTTTAAGAGATTAACCAGAAATGCTAAAAAGCTTGGTGCTGAATCACTTGATTATTCAACCCGAAAAAATAACAAATATATGGCCACACTTCCAGGTGGAAAGAAAGTTCACTTTGGATCACCAAAATATCCAGACTACACTATTCACAAAGATAAAGAGCGAAGAGATAAATATCGGGCTCGAGCTACTAAGATAAAAAATAAACAGGGAGAATTAACTTATACTAATCCAGAATCATCAAACTATTGGAGTGTGCATCTTCTCTGGCCTAAAAAATAAAATTGATTTATGATTTAAAGATTAAATAAATATTAATAAAATGCAACTGTCCAGCTATGAAAATATTACCCAAGAGAAAATTATCTTTAATGAAGCCAAAGAGTACAAAGTCAAAGATAGCAAGATTAAATACAAACGAATTCCAATTGAAGTCAAATATCCAAATGGAAAGAAAGGAGCTTTGGTATTAGAATCTCCAGTTCTTTTCAGTTTTGGTGTTAATGAAAAGAAAAATCAAGAAACAGGTAAGTTAGTAGGTTATAGTATTCCAGTATGTCTTTGGGCTAAAGATAGTGAGCCAAATAATAAAGAAAAAGCATTTTTTGATGTTATTAATAATGTAACAACTCTATCTCAGCAACATTTAGAGAATGAATATAGACCAGATCTAGCATCAACTCTGTCTTCACCATTTTACTATAAACAAATAGAATACACAGACAAGAAAGGAAAAAAGAGAACAAAAGTTGATGAATCATCAGCGCCAGTTCTTTACGCAAAACTTATTTACTCAGAAAAATCAAGGAAAATTTTATCTTTGTTTAAGGGAAAAGGGGGAAGGGATTTAAATCCTTTTAAATCTATTAATCAGTACTGTAATGTTAAATTAGCATTGATAATTGAAGGAATTTTTATAAGTAAGACTGTAACATCACTACAAATAAAAGTACACGAGTGCTATGTTAAACAATTAGAACCTAGAAAGAGTTTACTTACAATTGACGAAAAAAGTAGTGACAGTGACAGTGATAGTGATAGTGATAGTAAAGGTGAAGAGATAACTGATCAAGTAGTTGAAGACTTAATTTTATCTGATGAAGAAACTAAGTAGATAACTATTTTTAATACAAATTTTGTATTAAAAATCAACCAAATCCTTTGAGCTAACCCATGAGTTAAATTTATCAGGATATCTACTCCATTTCACTAATATCATTTTTTTCTTATTATCCCTCCTGATTATTTTTTCTATTCTAAATGTTTGTTGTTTTGCTTTCCGTAGTTCTTGCTCGTAGAAAGAACCCTTAATTTCCTCTCCCATCAAATCAACAATGCTATATGTAATAGGTTTTGTTGGTAAAACTTTATTAATAACAAATATTTCCTCTGTCCAGTTTGGTGTGTAACCTTTATCAAATACCTTTCTTTTATACTTAGAAATTCTAACACGATCACCAACCACAAATTTTGATTTACCAGGTTTCAAATAAATAGAATCGCCATACAAATTAGACCAAACTTTACTTTTATTTTTCTTTTTACTTGCTTCAACAGGAGTCATTTTTATACTAGAATGTCTCGAATTATTGTAATCATTAACTAGTTTATCTAACTTATTCCAGTAAACAGTGTTGTTATTAACTGTAAACATTTTCCACATTCTGTTTTTCATTGTTTTATTCCATCTCTCAACAACACTAGATTTTTCTTCGTTTTCAGTGTGGTATAGTTTGATGCCGACTCTTTTAAGAAAGTCTTTGAAATGTTTACTAATAAACTCAGAACCTTTATCAGTCCATAACATTTGTGGTTTACGTTTACTTTTGAATATATCATCAAATGCTTTACTGACAGTTTCAGTTTTCTTATCTTTTAATCCCCTAATCCATCCATACTTGCTAAACACATCAATAACCATGAGCAGATATTTAATCCCTTTGTTCCACCTACTAAACTTTTGCATTTCAACTAAATCAGCAGCACAGATTTCATCAATCCCATTTGAGATTACTGATCTCTTTTGAAAGTTTCGTGTGATTGGTTTGTGAAGTTCGTCGGCTAATTGTTGAGACCAATCACTACTCAACGCCGCTTTACGTTTTTTGTTCCGAATTCCAAGTTTTTGTTTAGTATTAATTATTGTTCTAGCCAACCAATGCCCCCATTGTCTTTCTTTCCAAGAAATTGCATCCAATGATTTTACCATCTCTCTATCAGCTTTATTTTTACACTTTCGGTCATCACCACAAACACTATAATCAACATCATGCTGCATAGCCACAGCATCAGTTGGTCCAGTTGGTTGATCGTAAATTTCTAATATTTCACCAGTTTCCGGATCATATCTTACTTGGTTTTCAAGATCATTATAAGGACCGGTATATTTATGTCCTGGCAAGGTCCATCCTCCTTTTGGTTTTGGCAATTTACCAATCTGTTTATGGATATCTACAGCACCACCTCTATAGTGACGAATGTTGTCAGTCACACCTTTTAAACCTTGGCTACCAAGTTTCATAAAAGCTGCTGGCCAACTTGCAGTTGGATTTACAAACATTGCTGCTCCTTCTGCTATTTTATCTGTTAATGTAGGTTTTCTTCTGGCAAGAGCACCACCATATTTCTTTTTAACTTCCGCTACAGATTTGTATATTTTGTTGGTTCCTAATCCACCACTAAAAAAATCTCTTACATGAGCATAACCGATTTGTTTTCCATTTTTCTTGACAACCATTATGGGTTCACCTTCTTTTAAATAAAATTTTTTACCATCATAACGAAACACAGTTGTTTTACCCGTCCAGAAATTGGAAGTAAATATACCATCTTCTGAATTAACAGCACCTTTGGCAATATCACCAGACCAATAATCCTTAAATACTTGCTTTGTTTGAGGAAACAAGGTTTCTGAAATTGTTTGACCCACATTTATTCCTGTTTTGATTGGGCCAACAGCATCACCAATACCTTTGCCCGCCATCCCTGACGGGCTTATTAGTTTTTTTACTTCTTTTTTGTTTTTCTCTTTTTACCACTTCCAGTTTGAGAAGCTGTTCCAGTTTTCACATATCTAACTTTTTTATTTCCACAAACTGCACATCTACAAAAGAATTGAGTTCTACCTCTTTTATCAGTTTGGTAACCACTTGGCTCTGTGCAAGGAGTTACTTTTTTATCTACAATGCAATATGATTCTTTCATTTAATATAATGTTTAGATAAAATATGTCTACTAGATCTATTTTTGTTAAAAGTGAACTTGACAATATATATAATAATTTAAAAATGAGTTATGAAAATACTACATTTTATAGAATGGAAAATGATACTCCATTTTTAAAAATATTTGAGTTGATTATGGAATTAAAAGAGAAAACAATTATACTTAATAATATTATAAAAGGTAATTATCTGTTTATATAGTAAATGGAGGCTAAATTCTTTTCTGAGATAGAGAAAAAAATGGATGTTAAAACAATCAAGGATTTTGAAAAGGAAGTGCGAACAAAAATATATAATGAGTTGGAGTCTCTTAGAAAGAAAAACGAAGATCTTTCTAGAGTGTTAATGGCTGGTGAATGTGAGATGTGGAAAAAAATAAGAAATGAGGAGTATTCTTGGTTGCAAATAAATAATGATAAAAAGAAGAAACTTTATCGTCTTATTGACATTTACTCAAAATTTGTTGATATAGTTGAAAGTGTTAAAGATCTAAATACAAAAGTTGAGAGAATTAAATTACTAAAAAATGCGCCGGATGAAGATTAAAAAAATAATATTTATTAAATATTATTTTTATCCTCCAAAGTATGCTTTTATAAAATCACTGTTGTCATTATCAAAATGTGGGTTATGTATTACATCTAGAATACTATTACCACGTTGACGCTCAAATAAATAGTATAAACACCAATAACCACAGAGAACAGTATTGCGATTTTGTATTTCATCCATTGAGTACACTATACGTTTTCCAGAAGTATTAAAATACTCTAATGCTTCATTTGGCATTATCAGTCCAAATGGATCAAAGTACTCAACTACATTATCTAAATTTCTATAACAGACCCAATGTGTTCCAGGGCCTGTCATGTCATCTAGATTTATTATTCCACATTCTTTTCTAATCTTTTTTGGTAGTCCATTACGACTGTATATTCCTCTGAAATGTTTAATACCAAGTCTTTTTATCCAATCCATAAGGTCAAAGTTGGATAGAGGTTTAATTACAAAATGGTTCCTAGAATGGGGATTGAGTTGAATGGGCTGTTTTTTCCTAGAAGAAGACCTTTTCCTTTGGACTTGGACGGCCTGCCGGCTTTTTTTTTTTTTAACTCCCATTCCTATTGGGTTTTCCCATGTACCAATAAAGGGTGGTGAGCGATAAGGATAACCTTCACCATGTGTGGATGGAGGAGGAGGATGTGGAACGTAAACATTTGCTGTATTAGATGATCCACGTCTATCAACTTGTAGTCCCCCACCAAACATCTTAGATACCAGACTAATTGCCATTGGAATTCCAATAGAAGCAAGAGTACCAAGAAATCCTCCTTCTATCTGTTTACGAGTTGGTTTAATAACCAGTCGTTCACCAGATTGATAAGCTTTATTTAACAAATTTATTTGTGATTTAGTTAATTCTCCTCTAATAGCGGGTATCAATGGTATAAACTTTTTTGGATTTGTAATTCCTTTTCCAAATATTTTATTTATTCCAAGTTCTCCAAGTGCAGTAGCAGCACCAGTTGCTAATGCAGGAACAGCTTTTGAAATTCCTTTTATTGCGTAAGGTAGTACTCGCGCTCCAAGAGATGCGAGTGATGAAAATAAGTTTCCACCATGTTTTACAGAACGTCTAATTTGTTTCTTACTTATCTTTATATCTGATCCTGTGCCATTTGCAATAGATTTTTTTATTTTAGAAATTTGTCTTTTTGTTAACATTAACTCATCAGAACCTCGAAGATGAGAATGTTTTAACCGAAGAGTTAGTGGTGATTTATTTAATATTGCAGAAGCCAATTTTGACTTTTGACCATCTGTAAGTTTTACACCGTATTCAATATAAGTTGTCATTTATTTATAGAATTATATTAAATCTAAGCCCTAAGCAATAGTTTTCCATCTTGTTGTGATATTTCTGCTATTCTTTCATGTAAGACTAATGCGTAAATAATATAATCAGCGTTTGGATTAGCTGTTAATTCGTAATGAAATGCTAGTTTTGTTACACCATCTTTGATATCCATTTTTTGTTTTGTCAGGTCAAAATGAACAAAAGGAAATAAAGTTTTGAAATTAGATATATTAAGTAATGTTCCACCTTGATAATCATTATTTGCATAGACGTATGACATTACATTTCTAAAAACTCTTGCCATATCAGTAGATGATTTTAAGTGAATATCTGGATATTCGTTTCCATTTGCAACTTCTAAATAACATCTTGATATATTAGCATTATTTGGTAAATCAAAGGTATCGTATAAAAATGGATTGGCTGTTTGTGAATCAATTCTTGCTGTATCAATTCCAAAAACAAATACATGCCTTGGCTTTGAAATAGCATTTGTAATTCTAAAATGTCCTGTCTGTTGCTGTGAATTATTTGACCTTTCAACTACTTCATTTAAATATACCCATTTGTAAGGTTTAAGATAATTTTCCATATACAGCTTTTGTCCTTCTGAATTAAACGTAAGTTTTGGAATAAAAAGTTGTAGTCTTGTTATAATAACTCTACAATCATCAGCAGCTTTAAAAATTAAATTTACATCTTTTTCAATCTCGATATTTAGTTCGATTTTTGTATTAGGAAGTAATTTGTCTTCCAATGCTTCAAAGAAAGAATATCTATTAAGAGGAATTTCACAGTTTACTGTGGCTGATGCACCTAATAGTAATTTCCTTTGATGAAAACCTTTATGATAAGTTCCTTGAGCAGGCCTTTCCTCTGCAGCTCTTGAAGTATCAAGAAAATAAAATTCGTTTGTAGCAACACTCTGTGCATATGAAGGATTATACTCAAGTAAATTTTTAATATTTACAACATGATTTGCGTAGTTACAACTATAAACTTCTCGGCCATTTGCTAGGATACTTAATTTTTCTATAAATGAGTTACTACCATTTACAATTCCGTTATGGTCAGCAACTGCAATATTTCCTCCATCTGCCAGCTTATTTACTTCAAAATCCATTGATAATCGTGCGTTATACCAATCAAAAGGAGTAGTTTCTCCTGTATTATCAGCAACAAATCTAAGACCTGTTTTAGTTTGGTGAGCGTTATTTGCTGGAGCAGCATCTAAAGTCTGTTCCAGGTCAAATACAACATCTTCATATCTATCTAAATATTTTCGATTTCTAAATGACTTCATTTTATTTTAATAATTATATAATTTTTCTCTTACGTGTTGAACCACCACTAATAAGGTTATTCAACATTTGATCTATCTCTTGTTGAGTTATTGTTTCGACATTTTTATTAAAAGTAACTACTTTTTTAGAAGGGGGTTTTCGGGAGGGAGTGCCTTTTGATAACATTTGCACTATCTTATCACCAGCCTTTTTACCAACATGTTCACCAGTTTTTGTTGCAGCTGCTGTCGCTGCTTTTTTAGCAGCTTTTTTAGCAGCTGATTTGACTGTTTTTCCAAATAATTTTGTACCAACTGATTTAAACACATCCATCATTCCTTCACCATAAATATGTTGTCTTGTATATCTCCCCAATTCTGGGTCAAGTTTCATTTTAAACTCTGATTTTCGCATCATTTTATTTTAATAGTTATATAACTACGAAGTATTACATTGAGTGAAGTATTAAAGTCATAAACCAATCAATACCATTAAAATTTACTGGTCTTCCAAGTGAGTCTGTCACATAGACTCTCATTTCATCAATGTGAAATGTAGAGACAGGACAATACAATGGTCTTTTAGGTTCAAATGAAAATGGAAAAGACCTTGTAAGATTATCAGTTGGTATCACAGCAATAGTATTTGTATTTATTCCATTTACAATGCTATCAGTTATTGCGGTTGTGTTGATATTTAATACATCTATTGAATTTGTTATATTTGGTAGTTTTGATCCATACTCTGTTTTTGTAATAAGTTTCTTTGCAAATCCAATCAGGTCTCCAAATTCTGTTCCTCTTAGATCAAGTTGATAATCACCATCAAGTGATATGAGAACTCGATAGGTAGATAGTATAAAAGTTAGATTGATTGAATAAGTTTTCTTTCCACCCGAATCTGTTGAGTGATGAGACTTTTGAGACATATATTGATGAATGTAATCATTAATATCTGAGTAGGAATACATTCCATCTGTAAAAGTAATTGTTTGCCAAGTCCTTCCATCATGAGTGTATTTGATTTTATTGTTTCCATAATCACTTCTAATATTATACCAAGAGTAAGTCATGGACAACCGATCAAGAGCAAGTTGATATTTCTTTTCAGGGTCAAGTTTAAGAGATGGATTAAACTTAATAGTAAAATCACCAGGTCTGCTTGTTCCTCTTTTTTCTCTGTTTATTGAGGAAATGTGAATAGCTCGTTCTTCCATTTTTATCTAATTGTTATTTAAGTTTTTATTAAATCATTTAGTTGTTTTTTTGAGATTACTTTCATTTGGTTGAGAAGATGTGCTATTTGAGAAAACTCAGGTATTACACCATTATTCCCAGCAAGAATTGAACCACCAAGTAATTCAAGTCTGTCAAGAAGTTGATGTGGGTTGTTAAAGTAAATCATTCCTTCTCCTATTTTATACTCAAGTGAATCTAAATAAAGTTTAAGAATGTTTTTATATTTATGAAGAGTATCTTTTTGCATTTTAACATTATCTATTTCTGCTTCATCTATTACTGTTTTATGTTTTTTTCTATTCAATCCAGCTAATTCTCCTGTAAAAGTTTTTACATCATTGTTTACTTCGTTAAGTATTTCTTCAAGTCTATCAATATCAGTACCAAAAAAATTATTTGGCCTTGGATATCCCATAATTTCTAATAATTCTAAATCAACTTTATCAAAATTTTTTTCAATGTTATAACGTGTAGGTGATCTTGGTCTAGATGTTGTTGGTTCTTCATAATCACCTTCCAAAGCTGGTAATTCTCTCATTTCAGCCAATCTTAAATTAGTTTCATTAATTTTTTCCAATCCTGATGTTAATGCAAGTTGATTTTTCTTAAGTTGTGCTATAGTTGCGTTTTGCTGCTCATCAATACTTTTTTTAATACTATCTTGAGATTTAATAAGTGGTTTAAATGGTTCTTTAAAACCTTCCCGCATATCTTGTTTTTGCCATTTTGTTATTTTTATTACATCTCTCACCTGTTGAGTTAAAGTGTCAGCTTCAATTTTATTTCTTGCAAGTTTTTTGTATTCTTCAATATTCATTTTATATAATAAATAGATAAATGGAAATACCAAACTATGATAGTGCTGATGACCCAGATAAAAAATATAGACAGTTATTTCCTTAGATGCCATCAGATACATTTCGAATGTTAATCTGTGGAAACAGTGGAAGTGGTAAGACTAATCTATTATATCATATGTTAATTAAACCGCTGTTGTACTATGATGAAATTTATCTTTATGCGCGTAATTTAGAGCAGGATAAGTATCAAAAATTAATTCAAAAAATGAGGGAGTTGAGTAGTAAATTGGGATATGAAATACTTCATGTGAGTAATGATGAAATAACACCTGTTTCAGAAATGGATTACGAAGACAATCAAAAACTTGAGATATTTGATGATTACGTCTGTGATAAAAACCAGAGACAACTTATTGATTATTTCATCCAAGGACGGCATAAGAATTGCTCTGTAATCTACCTCAGTCAGTCGTTTTACAAAACTCCAAAGGATATTCGATTGAATTGTTCTCACTACTGTCTGTACGAATTTCCATCATCGAGGGAAGCAAACAGAATATCATCCGAATTAGGAGTTGACAAAGAGACATATAAAACAGCAACAAACAAACCCTTTACATTTCTATACGTTGATAAACCTAGAAAACGTATTGCTAAAAACTTTACTAGTAATCTATAAGGGGAACCTACGGTTCCCTAACACCCCTCCCTTAAAAGAAATATAATCATTAGATAAAATGGGAATATTTAACGAACAATCTTTTTATCATCCTTTTGCTAAAGGAATACAGGGTGCGCCAGGAGTTGGATTTAGTCTAACCGCAAATGGAAATTATGATATAAATAAAAAAAGACTCACAAATGTTGGTGCACCCAGTGCTAATACTGATGCTGCTACAAAGAAGTATGTTGATGATAATTCTGGTGGATCACCCTCAACAACACGATTAACAGTTGATTCAAACATTGATATGAAGGACCGCTTCCGTATTTTAAACCTTAAACATCCAGTTGACTCAGATGAGCCAGCCACAAAACAATACTCAGACAGCAGATTTCTTGACAGAAATGGTTCCCGAACAATGATTGGTAATCTAAGCATGAATAATAATAAAATAATTAAAGTTGGCACACCAACAGCTAATGATGATGTAGCAACCAAAAAGTATGTAGATGATAAATCAAGCGGATCACTCACGTCAACAAGGCTAACAGTTGATTCAAATATTGATATGAAAAATACATACCGAATTACAAATCTTAAAACACCACAAGACCTTAAAGATCCAGCCACAAAAGGTTATGTAGACAACACATTTCTTGACAGAGATGGATCTTACCCAATGAAAGGTAATCTGAATATGGATAATAATCGAATATTAAATCTACCAGCTCCAACAGGTGGAAATCAACCAACACCATTAGCTTTTACAGATTTAAAGTATGTTGCCCGTGATGGTTCATCTACAATGACTAATAATCTAAACATGGATAATAAAAAAATAATTAACCTTAGACCACCAACATCAGACACAGATGCAACAACCAAAAAGTATGTGGATGACTCAATACCTGATACTAGTTCTTTTATAAAAAAAGATGGAAGTGTATCAATGACTAATAACCTAAATCTTGGAAACAAAAAAATAGTTGGTCTCGCAACTCCAACATCAAACACAGACGCCGCAACCAAAAAGTATGTGGATGATAACACAGGTGCTCCAGATTTAAGTGATTATTTGGAAAAAGATGGTACCGTCGCTATGACTGGAAACCTTAATGTTGGTAATAATAAAATAATAAATCTTAGTAAGCCAACCCAAGATAATGATGCGGTAAATAAAGATTACGCCGACAAACTAGTTCATCACACGGCAGTTCAACCAAGTCATTACAACGACCAGTTTGCTTATCTTATGTCAAGTGCGGCTCAATGGACTGATGAAATAGATACCAGAACTAGTTTTGTTATAAAAAGAATAGGAGATTTAGCACCAAACAAAGGAAACTTTCATAATTATAACCACAAAGTTATTTTTATGGGAATAAACAAAAGTTCTCAAGGTGGGTATAAGTATAAAATGGGAATCAACTTTTACAGGTTAACTGCAAATACTGATTACACCTTGTGTTTGGAAATACTTAACACTGATTATCAATTATGGCATAAGTCTCAAATAAGTGTAGACAAAGGAACTTCAACAGGATTATCAATTGGAAATGTTAGTGTAAGGAAACTATCCCATAGGTACAGCGATCCAAAGGGACAAACACAATTTATGTATTATCACAGAATAATAGTTAATTTCCGGAAGTTGTCAACTGGTAATAAGTTCTTTCTTCACATTTTGGTTAATATACCACAAGATGGAATTGACCTAGCTATTTATCCGAGACAGTTTCAAGGAGTTTACATAATTACTTATGGAATTGTGGGTACATTTAGCAATATCGATCCAGATAAAGTTTATGACTATCACACCGCATTTGACATCCACCCAACAGAAGTGGTGTACAATGTTGATATAAATGCAAATAATAAAAAAATATTGAACGTCAATCTTGATAGAAACATTAACAATAGTGTTGCAACAGTTGGAATGGTAAAAGAAATTCATCCTTTTACTACACATAATTTGTACAGAAAATATTTTGAAGAAGTTTATGATTTTACTAATGCCTCTAATTACAAATTAAGTAGTACCGCATCTGGTATTGTTTTTAATTATTTATCTTCTAGTAGTGGTAATACTCTAAGAGATATGGGTATACCTAATAGAACCATAGATGATATAAGAAAAGAAGGACTAAATGTTAGTGGTTATACTATTAGCTTTTCTCCTCCTATCGGTATTACAAAATATACTTTATGTATTGTTTTTTATCATTGGAGAAATAGAAAATTTAGTATAAAGAAAAGAGATTTAAATGGTGGATTTAAATTAACAGAATTATATTATTATACGTTAGGTAGTACAATAAAATTAGTTGTTAATAAAGTAAGAAGACAATTTACCTTACCAAGTAGTTTTAATGGAAAAAAAATTGTTATATGGTTGGCAGAAGATTTTAACCAAAATATTACAAAAGCTAAAATAAGTAACTACAGCGCAATATTAAGTTTACAAACAGTTCGTTACACCAACGAACAAGAGTTTATGTTTACAACTGAAGATGGAGTGTTAAGCAAAATAATGTACTCCCCAAACTTTTACGACACCGACTCTGAGCAATATCACAAAGTATTGCTTCAAGAAAAGTTAAATGGATCTTATGTAATATAAATATAAAATGAAGGATATCTTTGAATTTAATCACATAGACAAATCTCTGTCAGAATCAGATGTCAAAACCCTAAAAGACTTTTATAGTCACTACCACAAGAAATACTGGTGTTTTAAGCGGTCTTATAAGAGTTATAAATTTCTTGATAATTTTTTTACAATCTCTGGTATATGCTTGGTAGCAATAGGAACTATTTCTGGTGGAATAACCCTTAACCCCGTTGTTCTTGGAGTTGTAAATGGTGCTGGAATTATTGTTGCTGGAGTAGGAAAGAAAAATAATTATAAGAGAAAAATTGAGATGACAAGGATTGCATTTACTACTTACGAAAAAGTTCTCGTTGAACTACGTGCAGCTCTTCGGGGAGATAAGTGGAACAAAGAAGAGTTTGTTGATCGAATGAAGTTGATAGATGAATTAATAATTGATCAAACTCCAATAGCGGATAGATTTGAAAGTAGGTATAATGAAAAATTTAATATAATTGATAAATAAAATGGAAAAAATTGAAAAACAATTTATTACTTCTTACGAATCACATTTAGCTAAAGAAGGAAAAGAAATTTGTAAAGAAGTTGATTCTATAATGTGTGATAATGATGAATTGATGGTAGAAAAAGCTGATACTTATTGTAATTTTATTTCCCATTCAAAAAGACATGGATTTGATCCAAAGTTGGTTGAAAGATGTAGAAATTATAGAAATGATATGGATA